TCACATATGTTCACCCACCAAGAATGCAGAGTTGTGTGATCAGCAAACCTTGGTCGGCACATCTACTCACCCAGTGAGAACATGAGCTCTTGACTAGAAAACCTCTGTCATCACATATGTTCACCCACCAAGAATCCAGAGTTGTGTGTGATCAGCAAACCTTGGTCGGCACATCTACTCACCCAGTGAGAACATGAGCTCTTGACTAGAAAACCTCTGTCATCACATATGTTCACCCACCAAGAATCCAGAGTTGTGTGATCAGCAAACCTTGGTCGGCACATCTACTCACCCAGTGAGAACATGAGCTCTTGACTAGAAAACCTCTGTCATCACATATGTTCACCCACCAAGAATCCAGAGTTGTGTGATCAGCAAACCTTGGTCGGCACATCTACTCACCCAGTGAGAACATGAGCTCTTGACTAGAAAACCTCTGTCATCACATATGTTCACCCACCAAGAATCCAGAGTTGTGTGATCAGCAAACCTTGGTCGGCACATCTACTCACCCAGTGAGAACATGAGCTCTTGACTAGAAAACCTCTGTCATCACATATGTTCACCCACCAAGAATCCAGAGTTGTGTGATCAGCAAACCTTGGTCGGCACATCTACTCACCCAGTGAGAACATGAGCTCTTGACTAGAAAACCTCTGTCATCACATATGTTCACCCACCAAGAATCCAGAGTTGTGTGATCAGCAAACCTTGGTCGGCACATCTACTCACCCAGTGAGAACATGAGCTCTTGACTAGAAAACCTCTGTCATCACATATGTTCACCCACCAAGAATCCAGAGTTGTGTGATCAGCAAACCTTGGTCGGCACATCTACTCACCCGGTGAGAACATGAGCTCTTGACTAGAAAACTTTCATCAGCATACACCTAGCGAAAACATGAGCTCTTGACTTACAAAAACATTCACTGGTTCATAACAAAAAAAACTTCACTGGTTCATAAAAACTAACAGACACAGCTACATCAAAAACTTCCAGTGCTATGTCTTCTTCTTTCTTCTTCTTTCGTTCGCCTGAAATAAGTTATCTATATCAGCAGTTTTGTCTCTTGTATAAATTTCACTGTCGTTGTTAGTTCATTCAGTGGTCCATAGAGTTTACGTTCCACTGTTGTTCTTTCTGGCCAAAAGGTTTGCCTTAATGTGTCAAATTCGGTGCAGTCCTGGAGTACATGCTCTGCGGTCTGGGGCACATTTCCACATTTGCACATGGCTGATACACCTATCTTGAATTTTGTGTACATGTGGTTACGTAATCGGTTGTGCCCTGTTCTGAGGCGGAAGATAATGACTTGTTCTGGTCTGTCCATAATCAGTGCTATGTCACTTTTAAGGTGTGGCTCCTTGGTAAAATCCTGAAGACCGAGCCAACCTTTTTACACGAAAGAAAAACAAACCATTATATTCAGAGTGTGTTCTTGACTCTGCAGACTGCAGCCACTTGTACAAGAAATCCAAGATTGGGAACTCAGAATTCTGCCCATGTGCACAGGCATCACTGAATATGTGCTACAGACATGCTCTTTACATGCAGCAGACAGATCTCAGGGTTTGGCGGGGTCGGCATTCAAATGGAAACCAAGTCGTATGGAACAGTGGGAGACATATGTCGCACCACAAACGTCATAGAGGCATTCTGACCTTTTCATCTGAAAACCGCTAGCAGGGAAAATGGGAAAAAAAAAAACATGGCCAAAATAAAACCATGGCTGGAACAGACAAGAATTTTGCTACACTACAATGGTATGAACTTTCAAAATGAATACATGTACAGATTTAAACAGAACAAAAACAAGCAATACGTAAGTCGTAACATAATTTTAATAGTTCCTATAATGATCAGTTACTGCATTACAGAATTCAATTATTCATAACATCTCATGGAATCCATGTTTACGCTCACACTAGACACCATGGGGAAACACACAACTTTTGCCAACTGCTTTTCCAACTCTGTAAAACGCTACCTGTGGAATATACAAAAAAAAGTTTCCTGATAATAACGTACCTAGTTACCCTGTCTGTTCACCAGCTGTGAACTCCAGAGAAAAGTTTTCATTGTTCATCCACCTCTGGACTTAGGTTATGTTCCAGAACTTAAGTTCTGCATGCACATCAGTTTTACAGATCTGGCTTATTTGTATGCAGACTGTTAGTTTGCTGCCTCTTGGAAGATGCACTTCAGTTTTGATGTAAACCTCTAATTGGTAAAACCACATGATTTTTTTAGGGAAGAGTGGGTCTATTCTTTTTTTTTTCTTCCCCAAAATGGGGGCCCGAAGCCCACCTGAGGATCTATGCAATTTGATAGCCAGTCATGCCAATCTTCCTCAGTCACCTCTTAGGACATGCATGCTAATTACAGATTTGCTATCCTCTGCTTCCCTTATAGGATCCATCCTAGTTTTTACCATATGGTGAAATGCCTTTTTTTTTTTTATTCTTATACTATTTATTTGGACCCTCTTCCACATCTTCAGGCTTATTGGGCACATGGAGCTAGACCTATATTAAATACACCAGTCGGCAATTGGTGGGTGATGTGATCAGCATTATGCCGGAGGCCTTTAATTTCCAGGTCTGCTCCTGGTACCCACTCAAGGCTAGGTCGACCTGAGAGTCGAGGTCATTAATTGAAGAAAAAAGTCCGGCTCCGCCAGGACCCAAACTCGCAACCTTCCGATCTGCAGGCGAGCGTCTAGCCACTACACCACAAGGACTCCTTAATACTAATATAATAATGACTTATTCTAGTCATAATAATTCTTTGGAACCGCAGGATGCAAGTGTACCTGCATAAAAGCTTTTCAGGATAAGTGGCCACGTTCGCCAATTGTTTCATTTTTATTTTGCCCATTAATAAGATGCAAGGAGAGAACTCTCTGCATTACCTAACAGCATCTTGATAACTTTCAAACAGATCAGGTGATATTAACATTGCCAAAGGAGGACTCAAGCCAGCTGACAATACAACTGACGATGTGTAGAATAACTGTCATAAGTAAATCAGTTTTCCGTTGCCTGCAAAAACAAAAAGGCAGAGCCACTCATTCTACCTGTTAACTAAAAGTAAAACATCATTCTGAAACTAACAGGGTCATTGCTGCAGGGCTGGAACTAACTGAAAAATAACTAGTGAAAATAATTTCAAGATTTCAGTTATTCACCATACATGCAAAATATTCTTAGAGGGAATTAAATGGTATGATAGAATAACTAATGTAGAGCTTTAGGAGAGAACTAAACAGGCTCCAGTGGACCAAGAGGTGAGGAAAAGACGCTGGCGCTGGATAAGAAAGGCAGAAGAAGACCATAGATGCAAAATATTCAGTTAAGTGTACCTTGTGTTCTAAGTCTGAAGATAGTGTTCTGTCGATCTTTGTCTAGTTTTGAGTTCCAATGAAACGGTTACTGTTTGCTGTTCAATTCTTGCTCATGCCTTGCAGCAACCTTTACAGATGATTATTTTGTGTATCTTACCTTGAATTAAATGTGTTTAACTGAGATTGTAACCCAAAATATTGAGGTCAGAAGAGAAGTAAGGGAAGCAATACTAAGTGTACCTGCTGAACTGACGAAAGCTGTAAAAGATGTTGGAGTAGACTGGCTGGAACGAATGTATAAGTTTGGACCATACAGGAAAGCAGTTGAAGACTGGATAGACTCTAATATCATCCCAAATTAGAAAAAAAAAGTGCAGCAAACGAGACTGCCCCCTAAACAGAGAAATATCTTTGCTGAGTCACAGTGGGAATTTTTGTTGTTTTTTTTTTCAAATTTGTAGAAAAAAGACTGCCCAATTACTGACCCTAAGCTCAGTGAATCACAAATGCGTTTCAAAAGAAACAAAAGACCTGCACATGCCATCTTTACACTGCTACAGGTAGCAGAGAAAACAACAGAATACGATGGAGCACTATATTTTGCATAAACGGATCAAGAAAATGCATTTGATCGAGTCAACCATCAAGTACTTTGGAAAACACTAAAAGTTTATGGAGTTAGTCAGCATCCAGTAAACATATGCAAATGTCTTTAGTACAAAAACGAAGGTGTAGTGGGGAAAAGGACAGGAATGACAGAGAAGTTGACTTTACAATCCGGAGTCTGTCATGCCATGGATGTGTTCTCTTCCACCTGCTGTTTATTATATTCATATAAGTACAGCATCAGAAATTAATGAGGACATTTTTGCAGATGGTCAAGGTCTTATGGCAGCTAAAGAATTTCCTATGTCTATTTTAACTGTCTGTGCCACTGAATTAATCATAACATCATCATCATCTCCAAGATGCTCGGTGGTTTTTGCCAGCTTGGATCCTGGTTTGGCAACTGCTGTGGTTTGACCCTCTCCCTGTGAATGCTTAAACACACTTACACACACAAACCTGCCAAAATTTGCATTACAAATTTAATCTACAGAACATTTAAAGACAAATAAAAAGGTAATCAAACAGAGTAAAGCATCGTATATACATTCCCTAAGACTTATGCAAATGTATCAGGTGACTTATGTCATGACCTTGTGACCGTTGTCTCTGAGGCTACAGGAAAATTCGACATCAATGAGGCCTTCAAAAAGCCACAGCCATCACAAGGAAACCCACACTAAATGCAATTCTTATTTACCATATATGTGTGTATCTTTATATATATGTGTGTGTGTGTGTGCATGTATATATACACACACACACACACACACATTACACACACATACATATATATTTATATATATTGGCATATTAAACACTGTGCAGGTGCACACAGAACCAATTGAATTTCAAGAACAGGTCACATGGCAATAAACCAGCATTTACAGGGCTGTATCACAATCGGAAGGGGCTAGATTAAGTCTTCTTTGGGGCGACAGTGTTAACAGTTCTCAGGGCGACAGTGTTAACAGCATCTGAAAATTACTAGCTGTATTCAAAGATGTCAAATCTACGACTGCAGTCCAACTTACCATTACAGCAAATACTTCAACCAATGAAGTTGATGACGACAAGATGCAGGATGACGTGAGCAAAAATGAAATCGGCAAATGACCTCTCAGGGCTTATTCCGGTAAATTCGGCTTTGTTCTGGGGGTTACTTTGCAATCTTAGGCACACTGAAACAAAACAACAATTGGATGTGCTTAAATTGCAACACTGCCTGATATTTAAATGTGCTGTCTCCCACGGGCATTGAGTCAGAGTTTGTTGCCAATTAAATATCTAAAACATGTAGGAAATAGGCAGCCTTATTTTTTTTCCTTTCTGTTTACTGGCTGTAAACTCCAGCAGAAAGTTCTGGCTGTTTGTCCACTTCTGGACTTTGGTCTTGTTTTAGAATTTGAGTTTTACATGCACATCCAATTTATAGATCTGGTTTTTTTTTTAATGCAAACTGTTGGTTCCTTGTCTCTCAGACAGATGCACTCTGACTTCAAAAGAAAAGCCTCTAATTAGTCATCTTTTATGACAAGGGAAGAGAGGTGGGATTGGGTCTGCTCTCTTCCGCCCCCAATGGAGCATAGAGCTCCAGAATCCACATGAGATCTAACCTGCCATCTTTGGTATCCAAGAGTGGTAGTGGCCTTTGGGAGGTGAAACTAGTTGCAATGAGACACAACTGACAGCAACACCGTTACTTTATAAAATATACTCATTTTGAAATCTGTGTGGTCTATACCAATGTGACTCTCAACCTTATTGATGTCGGGTTAAAAATATGACACTAAGACATTTCTTGAAACTACAGTAGCACTATTAGTACAGTCTATAAAATGAAAAGTTGGCTCTCCTTTCAACTACGGCGGGCAGACAAGTGTAGACGGCCGGTTAGTCGAAGTTCTGTCCCCTGGCTACAGTGCTATTACGGACTGGACAGGAGGAAACGAAACAAATGACATAATTACTGTGTGTTGGCGATAGACAGCGTGCACTGCCCTGTTATGATCAGACGATTAGGGTTAGGGTTAGGGTTTGGGGTAGGGTTAGGGTTTGGGTATGGGTTAGGGTTACGGTTAGTGTTGCCGCATCTCGTCTTCGCACAAACTCAAAGTAGCAACCCAAACCCTAACCCTGAACCTAACCCTAAACCTAACCCACACCCTACCCCTAACCCTAACCCTAATCGTATGATCATAGCAGGGCAGTGCACGCTGTCTATCGCCAACACACAGTAATTACGTCACTTGTTGTGTTCCCTCTAATCCACTCTGTAATGCGTCGCAAGAAGCGGTTATTAAACGCGGTCGCTAATTTAAGTCGCAGCGCGGGGTCTGCAAGGCATGTCGAGCTCACTTTGTTTTTTTATTCATGCCTTCTCCAGTCCGTAAATGCACTGTAGCCAGGGGACAGAACTCCAACTAACTGGCCGTCTTCTGTTGTCTACCGGCCGTAGTTGAAAGGAGCCGAAAAGTTTGTTAAGTAATATTCTTTACTGGATGTTGCAGAACCAACCCTGGCATTTTTTTGGCTGTTGTGGTTTTTCTGAGCAAATTTTTTACATTCAGTAGTTTGCCATTGCCGCCTGGCGACAGTACAGTCTATACTGGAGAGAAAAAAAAGCTGAAGGTGATCAACTCAAAAAGAAGCAGACAGCAATACAATTGAATTGGGAAGATGTATCAAAATCAATATGTGTAAAAAGGTGAGAGACAGAGAATGCTGGAGATAAACTGCAGCTAAGTTGTATAAAAAAATTTTAATTTAAACTAGCTTAAAAGTTTAAACTACATGGGCTTTGTGTTGGCGGAATCTGATTGGTGATTGATTTCATTGATAATTTGATCCATCTCTGAAACTCCAAACACTACGATTTTCTTGTCTATGCAATAATGAAGAGTGTATCACGTGCAGTATTTGAAGTAATCAATACATATTTACTATTTCATCTATCATTACCTGCTAAGATGAAAGATCCGACCGTGGAAATAAAACCCGAGAGAAAAGAGTTGAACGGGTAGGTGCCCACCAAACAACAGTAGATGAACTGTATGATACCAGTCAACAGCACATACAGCAAATACGCATCAATGATCTTTAACTTTTTGGGCGTCGTCTGCATATACTCATCATAAAACTTGATGATGACATTGGTCAGTTTCTCCGGCATGTTGAAATAGTGGAACTGTTCGCTTGAGCGTGGAGTTGACGATAATATTTTATAGTTACGTGTCACTGCAGCTCGTCTTCAGGCACCGGCACGGAAGTGGGCGGGTCACCGAAGACTTTGCCAGCCTAGGGTGATTTCTTTGTTTGGCCTAACTTTCGCGAAAACTATATCGGATAAATAAATTACAGTGACAATGTTTATATGTCTTTATACTCAGACGAGTTAGAAGAAGACTGATCACTTCTGGGTTACATCTGTGCCATGATTTTGATCCGTTGAATAAACATAATTTGTCAAGAAACATTTTGTGTTGTCTTTCTCTGGTGTCATTTTCCACAGATCTGTCCAGTGGTCACAAAATATTCAAGTTTCCTTCTCAAAATAGGACCACAAAATGATGACTGCATAATGTAGCGTACTAAAGAAATGAAATGAAAACATTCATAAGCAATTTGTTTAAAACCTAAACCTGATGTACTGAAATGGCTGGGTTATATTAAGGTAATATCAGGAAAAAGACAGGTCAAAAACTTTACACAACGGAGATGAGCGGTCGTATGCCATCCTGCATACCAAGAAGACGATGAAGAGATAGCATCCAGATAGGCCTAGAAACACTTTTTCACCACCTAGAAAGAGAAGACCAACAAGAGAAATGAATGGATGCGGGTGATATTTGCAGCAATTAACATCAAGGGCTCAGACTTCTTAGGAATTCTAATTTATCCAGAGAATTTTGACTATGTTTGAATGTTGAAAGATACAATTGATCGAAAGGGTATTTTGGGATCCAGCGAAGAAATGGCTAGCTCAAAGCATATACCTCATTTTTTAAAAAGCCTTGTGCCAGATAAACAGAAAATCAAAAATTTCCACATTGCAACAAATGACACCAGAATAGCATAATATTAGCAAATAACATGTACAAATGCAAGCTGAGTTGAGTTCAGTTGAGTTGATTCAAGAACCGACATCGCAGAACTCAGGGCATTCCCATTCCCACTCTTCAGCAGTCAGCGAAGAGTTCCGATATTAATGGTGCCAGTAGCATTCTGATTAAACGCCTGTCGCCTTTCCTCTGAGCATCAAGCATCTGCCAGAACCACTCGACACTTATCTTTCATCAATCTCACCAGACTGTAGCGATCCATCTGCCCCTCCGAACTGTACACGCTCTCCCAAAAGGAACTAAACATGTCTGCCTTATCATGCATCAGTATTACACCAAGTTGTGCAGAGCCAACCAGTCTGTCCGCCTGTTTATTTCCCAACACATATCTCGGGGGTGGAGTGGGGGGGAATCCAGACAATACTTCTCACTCGTGTCCTCCGCAGTGAAGCATGCCACTCTGCACGAAGCATGCTTGTCCTGATCTTCCTAAGCATGCTTTTCGAGTCAGTTACTATCACGATGTGTGTGTCGTGTTCTCTAACCTGCGGAAAGCTGCAGTGACCACCTCCACTCATAAGCTGAATGTTGTGGTATCATATGCTAGGCTCTCCTGCACCTGCAACTGCACCATTAAATTTTGTCAAACCCCGGCACTTCTTTTGCCTCTTGACACTGAACCGTCTGTGTAAATAATCAAATCCTCTGAGCGAGCATTTTCTTGAATTAATTGCTGAATTTTCATCTCCGTGGCACCTGCTGGCCAATATCTGCATTCCGGGTTCAGTGTGATTATGACCCTACACAGGTCTGTCTGTTCAGGTGGCACTTTGACCAACTCCTCACCTCGCCTTATGTTCTCAAGGATACAAACCTATCTAATTGTGTCTTCTGCCTGAGCCATGCATGACTTCCCTCTTATCAGCCTCTGACCCTTAACTGCGCCAGAGTTTCATGAAAAGGGTGGTCTGTGTCTGCAGCTACCTTAAGATATGACTTCGCCAGAAGTACCTTGTGCCTACCTGCAACAGTCGGCAAACCAGGGATGTATCGCATACACCCCACTGGGGTGTCTAAGGTGCAACCCAGAATGACCCACATAGCTGCGGTCTGTATGCGCTCTAGTTTGTCCATCTGACTCTTTGAGATGGTAAGCAGTCCGAGGACATTGTGAAAAGCATTCTCCGCTCTATGTCAATTGCAGCCATAGTCTTAAATGCACTAAGTCCTTTTTGGCATCGTGTCACAACTCTCTCCACATGGTCCTTAAAGGACAGGCTCCTGTCAAATGTAATTCCCAGATACTTCAGTTTGCTCTCTCTCTCTCTCTCTCTCTCTCTCTCTCTCTCTCTCTCTCTCTCTCTCTCTCTCTCTCTCTCTCTCTCTCTCTCTCTCTCTCTCTCGACATTTCTACCATCCATCGTGAGACTTGGAACATTAGTTAACGATCCTGTTGTCCAGAGAACACCACAAAACAAACGCCTTTTAGGGTGGACGACAGACCTCATTTCTGTACACCACTCTGTCTACTGTCGCTTGAAGCGTCCAAGTAGGTTGTTGAAATTCTTCAGACTCAGGCTTGAGTTAGAAGTTGAATGGAGAACTTATGGGCTACATGCGTGTGTCCTGATGTTAATCCGTCGAATAAACATAAACATAAACTTTGAAGAGCTTGCCAAGTGTACTGTTTCCACACTCGTGAAACTTTCCAAAGAAAATAACGGACGCTTTTCGCGCCACTGGCTTAACTGGTATATGGTATTATCCGTAACTGTATCATTATCCGTGTATGCTGTATACGAATTAATGAATAAATAAGTGAATGAGTAAATGAATGAATCCAGAACTGACATTCCTGCACTTGGGACATTCTCATATGTGCCCGGTCTCCTTTCTCGGTAGCCAATGAAAAGAAGACACGACAACAGTATCAGCTGCAACCTGATTAAATGACCGCCTATGTTTTCACTTCAGTGTTGATTATTTTCCAGAACCTCTACTCACTACATGGAGTCGTTCGCTAGACGTTCGCCTGTGGATCGGAATGTCGTGAGTTTGGGTCTTAACGGAGCAAGATTTTTTTTTCAAAAAGGTCGACTTAAACTTGAGTGGGTACCAAGTGCAGTCCAGTGAAGTAAAGGCGGCCGAAGTGATGCTGACCACATCACCAACCTTGTGCAGATTAGTATATAAAATATAGGCCTAGCTCTATATGCCCAATACGCCCCAAAAGCGGGGAAAAGCATTTTTTAAAAACTTTTTTTTACTACTAACTCCCCGTTGAATTAGTCTTTCAAAGTGTGGACTCTCTGTCCTGTTGCACCGTCCATTTGATCTTAGAAAGCCCCCAGTATGTCCACTTTATTAAAAAGAAAGTAGCTCTTTGTCCAGAGGAGCAGGAGCAGTCAATCTATTAGACTGCCCATTATCCCGCACACTCGAATGTCTTGGACATAACATTCATGATACCCTTTTGATCAGAATATAATCGGGTGATGAAGGCAGCACTAAACGTAGGACAACTAGTTTGAATTTGTCTGGAAGCATACTTTCTGGGGCCGTTACAATTACAGTAAAACTTCGATTAACCGTCACTGTCCGGACCAGGGCGTTAACGGATAACCGAATAACATAATTCTTTTATAATGTGTACAGTAACTTAATTTCAATTACGCACAGCAAAGGCTGAAGAGTGTGGCCCAACGGAGCTACCTCACAAGACAAGCTGTGGTGACCTTAGAAGCACCGTTCTGTGTGTGGCCCCACGGGGCTGGTTGCTTAGCAGCGGCGAGGCGTGCATGTAACCTCTGTAATAGCAGCTTACATTTGCCATTGCAAAAAAAAAAATGCGTTATTTTACTATTACTTTGAATGTTTACTATTTATTACAAATGGGAAGCTTAATTTACAACTCGCTGAGCACTTAATGGTTGTTAAGGGTATGAACACAGAGAAACGAATGCGGGCTGCATGCTTATGCAACTCGTATAAAACTGTAACGTGTGAAAGCTATCCCTTAACAGTACTTCGGTGCTAGCTGGGCACGCATTCTCTCAACAGCGAAGCGACGAGGAGGAAAATGTCACGTGGTACTCTCTCCAGTGTAACTGTCACCTACCAGCTCTTACACACGTGAATTGATTACGCCTCACCGCCGTTGTTTGGCAAGGCTGGTATTGAAAGTAGTAGTAGTAGTAGTAGTAGTAGTAGTAGTAGTAGTAGTAGTAGTAGTAGTAGTAGTAGTAGTAGTAGTAGTAGTAGTAGTAGTAGTAGTAGTAGTAGTAGTAGTAGTAGTAGTAGTAGTAGTAGTAGTAGTAGTAGTAGTAGTAGTAGTAGTAGTAGTAGTAGTAGTAGTAGTAGTAGTAGTAGTAGTAGAAGAAGAAGAAGAAGAAGAAGAAGAAGAAGAAGAAGAAGAAGAAGAAGAAGAAGAAGAAGAAGAAGAAGAAGAAAAAGAAGAAGAAGAAAAAGAAGAAGAAGAAGAAAAAAAAGAAGAAGAAGAAGAACCTATTGTATCTGAATTTTAATTAAATTGCCTATGACCCACAATGTCGCTCAACACGATTGCATGACACGGGAGTAAAGCACAGTGACGCCCGTCTATGCCACTTTTGATGCCGAGATAGGCGACATAATAATCAGATCCTCAAGGGATCAATTGGTAGAGGTACCTTGACGTTGTTGCTGTCTCGGAGGACTGACCATGTATGGGAATGCCAAATATGCAATGACTTTGACTATGGTACAATTATGTACCAAAGACGGTGCGGTTTGCAAAAAAGCCAAGCGCGGCATGCTATAGAGAGGAGACATCTGAGAAAGAAACCAGCCTGAGAATGATGAGCACTAACGTGTTGTGCACCACCGCCTTCTCTTGAAGATCTAGTTAAGCTGGAGACGGCCGTGATGTAAACTACGTAGCAGCACTATTAACCGCATGACACTGTTAAATATGTTGACAAGGAAATCTAAGCGCCGATGGATGTGTCCGGAGTGCTGTAAAGATAATCTAACTGATAACTAACTATGTGGCAAAGATTTTGTCATTTCTTAACGGTCCTCGGGGACTGAGGGTTATCTATTAGAAAGAACACTCTGGTACTGAATGGGTTAAAAATGTGAAATAATTATGAATTAGTCGATTGCTGAAAAGATGATTTGACAAGCGGGGCGTCACATTGACCAGACACGTAGAACCCCCACCCCCCCTTGCGTCTTCCATAGGGCGCCCAACCTGGACAAAGAAGCACCCCAACATCTCCAATCTTGGCCATAGCCTGTCCCGACCACGTGATCACCTCTGGCGTACGAACATGATCACGTGACTGACAACATCTCCATCTTGGCCCAGCGACCAGTGACGGCCTGGTCTTTTTCTTCACATTCAAGGTGATTTCTTCTGTCTTCATGTCTCCGGAATCCCATTGTAATGTTTACTAATGTCTTATCCATGTCTGTAAATGTTTAAAGTATACATACAGCTTATTACTATGCTGAAGAGATGGGGAGAACTGCAATGGTCTGTTACCTTAGGCAGCAGGCATGTTTACCCGACCGTTTCTCTCTGTTCTCTCGTCCTTTCCTTTGCTCAGAAATGAATGTGCTCTTTATCATCTCTTGCATGATAGATACTGATATGATAACAAGCCTTTCGTGAATATCAATGTAAACTTGTTTTGAACCAAGCAAGTGGTCGTTTGTTTATCAAACACACATGTACACCATCTTCTACTGTCTCTTTTAAGGGGAGCCTTGTTAACTTTTCAGAAGATATTCTTAATTCTTAAGTTTACACACAAATTATTTTTAAAAAATAAAGTACAAAAAAGGGTTTAATTAGCATGTACACAATTATGTATATACGTGTAAGAAATTAAATCAGATTACGAATATTTATAAATCAAACTGAAATCTCAACATTTAAATGGAACTATATTCTGATTTGCATAATTTATGCAAGCATTTCTTTTTTCACTTGTGAACAAACATGTCTAACCTAACAAATTGGGGGTGAATTTGTTGACGGGTAAAGCCTGAATAAGTCCTAACACTTGAGTTTTGGGAAGTAAAGCCTGAATAAGTCCTAACATCTGAGTTTTGGGAAGTAAAGCCCTTAGAGGCCTTCAGACACTTCTGGCACATGGTTCTACTCCTTGTCCTGCCTCCTGCTATGTTTCGGTTGCTATGATGCAACATTCCTTTTCGCCATTGTTACGCACAGATAACCTCACACACACACAATCAGTGTAAAATTACAGAACACATTAAACTTTCTCGAAAGCCATCATTAAAGAGCCCACATGTGCGAGCAATACGAGAAGCAATCTGATTGGCTGGTATGAAAACCTGCCTGCCACACTCAAGGCTTGTATTTTATACGGCCAACTGATTGGCCCAATTGTTTTTTTTGGGGAGCCGATGGCCGCGCCATCTCCAAAGGGTTTATCGAAATGCAAATACTAAAAACTAATATTCGACTGTGAGATCACTCTTACTGTGTTACTCTACTTCATGACTTTATGTTGCCATATCGGATGCACCAAGCAGAAAAAGAATATTATAAAGGTGTCTGAATTGGAGCAGAATTGAATTTGATATTATGTGTTGCTCATCTGTTGAAACATTTCATATATTTTTTTTTTCTTGGGCCGGTCTCCCAAATGCCCAACCTGGCCGCCCAAAGGATATTACATTGTTAATCCAGACCGAAAGGGGACTTCAGCTGTGACTTGGTTGTGACCGATTCCGGTCCTCTTGGCCAGACCCAGTGCAGCAAAGCTACACTTTGATCTTAGCCAAAAGGCCAAGAAGCATGCCCCTCTCAAAGTCTTTTTCTACCTCTCCTGTGTTTCTGGCACTAAATTTATTTATTTATTCTACATTTTCTTCAAATGTTCCCCATCAGTGTAGATTTGTTTGTCTGCTTACAGTTGTGATTTTAAAATCTTTAAACTTTTGTATGTATCCTCAATATTTGTTTCCCTGTAAAGATCCCACATTTACTGCCTCCATTCTTTCACAGTACCAGTACTTGTGGTCCATCATTTACAAATAGCAGCAGGCTTCAGCCAGTTATGGCATAATTATCTCCCTTGTTCCCTTCTCTCTCCCTTGTTCCCTTCTCTCTCCCTTGTTCCCTTTCTCTTGTTCCCTTCTCTCTCCCTTGTTGGCTTCTCTCTCTGTTGTTCCCTTTCTCTTGTTCCCTTCTCTCTCCCTTGTTCACTTCTCTCTCTCTCTCTCTCTCTCTTGTTCCCTTCTCTCTCCCTTGTTCCCTTTCTTTTGTTCCCTTCTCTCTCCCTTGTTCCCTTTCTCTTGTTCCCTTCTCTCTCCCTTGTTCCCCTCTCTCTCCCTTGTTCCCTTTCTCTTGTTCCCTTCTCTCTCCCTTGTTCCCTTTCTCTTGTTCCCTTCTCTCTCCCTTGTTCCCTTCTCTCTCCCTTGTTCCCCTCTCTCTCTCTTGTTCCCTTCTCTCTCCCTTGTTCCCTTCTCTCTCTCTTGTTCCCTTCTCTCTCCCTTGTTCCCTTCTCTCTCCCTTGTTCTCTTCTCTCTCCCTTGTTACCTTCTCTCTCCCTTGTTCCCTTCTCTCTCCCTTGTTCCCTTCTTTAATCTTAATGTTAACTAGCTGTGAACTCCGGTAGTAATAGTAGTAGTATATTTTTTACCCACACAAGCGATAAACACCCGATGACACAAAGTGCCAACATGTGGATGAGGATCACCGTGGAGGTCCCAGAAATATATTGCGGCCCCTGGCAAGAGCCAGAGTAGGGCTTCAAATAACGAAAAATTGCATCTCACAAGGAGATGACTTGGGTATAATACGGTAATGAACTCCGGTGGAAAGTTATCATTCATCCACTTCTGGACTTCAGAACTTAATTTTTGCATGCACATCAATTTACAGATCTAGTTTATTTGTATGCAGACTGTTGGCTCTTCACCTTTCAGGCATATGCTCCCAGCTTTGAAACAAACACCCCTAATTGATTGCCTTCTGTGACATGTTTGTTAGTGGGGAAAGTGTGTCACTGGTCAGAATTGCACTAAATAAGAACCTACTAACTACAACAGTGGACACAAAACACTGCACTGACTAGAACAACAAAAAGAGGGTAAGAAATTGTTATTGAGCTATTTCAGTAACAGAAGCTGTAATTCATTTAGTGAAATGATAAAAAAACAATCACAAATGAGTGTTGCTTTTACACGCATCAGATGTAGACACCTTGTTCTAAACAAACATGATTGCCAGCTTTCTTCAGTGTGCTGTGACCAAAATTAAAAATTACACTCACCCGTATGCTGATTGGGACACTTGAAGAGACATAATCACACATGATTCGTTGTTTGGGACAAAAAAAGATGATTAACAATTGGGCAGTCTGTAAAGTGTGCCATCACAGTGTCACATAATGATAAGTGTGCCGTCACAATGTCACATAATGATAAGTGTGCTGTCACAGTGTCACATAATGATAAGTGTGCCGTCACAGTGTCACATAATGATAAGTGTGCCGTCACAGTGTCACATAATGATAAGTGTGCCGTCAAAGTGTCACATAATGATAAGTGTGCCGTCACAGTGTCACATAATGATAAGTGTGCCGTCACAGTGTCACATAATGATAAGTGTGGCGTCACAGTGTCACATAATAAGTGTGCCTGCAAAGGGGCCCTGTTTCAGTTCCCAGCAGAGACTGTATTATTTTACCCATTTCATGTTTAACTCTAAAGTCACGCTGTTCAGGAAAAGGAATTCTGTTGCTCCGAGGATTGAACAGGGGTGTCCCCTTGTGGGTTCTGGGCTTCATTTTTGTAAAAGCATATTTTTAAAGTCTATTAATTTAGGGGTGTTCCATTCAAAGTCACAGGGCACCTGCCTAAGAGACGAGGAACCAACAGTCTGCATACAAATAAGCCAGATCTGTAAAACAAAAATTCATGGAAAACTCAGGTTTTGGGACACGACTAAAGTTCAGAAGTGGACGAGCGACCAGAACATTCTGCCATAGTTTAAAGCTGGTAAACATTAAGAAGAAGAAGAATTAGAGCCAGTGTTTTTGTGTGTATATGCTGGGTTCTTCACAGTACTGGGAGTTGTTCATGATTTGTGTTTTCTATTTTGTTTCCTAGGAGAAAAGAAAACTCAAAAGATAACAGTTTATAAAACTGTCACAGATTCCCTGTCATCATACAAAAGATGACATAAACACAAATGTCTGACAATGATACACAAACATTACTTTCACCTGTTGATACAGTAACATTATGTACTATGAGTGCCATAGACATTGACCAAACAACAACAAAAGAGAAAACTCCCCAGCGCTGCAGCCCAACTGCGGCTGAGAATCAGACAAATACCGGACAAGAAGGGGAGATTACTGACCCATGTTCCTCTGTCGAGCAGAGTGATGCCCCCAAATCCAGCCCTGGACAAAGTGTTATTATAATTCAAAATTCTAGTGATGTGAATATGGAGGAGTTTGAGCCTTCGCTGCTGAAATGTGTGAAACAAGTTTTAGCAGAGGCTGAGTGTCAAAACTCGCTGATGATTATTAATCGAAGTCAAGATGGTGGCGAGCCTGGAGAAGAACAGGCAACTTATATTATAGACCTTATTTCTCTGGGAAAGCATGCAGGCAGTTCCAAAGAGGGTTCTAAAGGATCTGGATCATGTGTAGAGCTAACTACCTCAAACTCATCAGAAATTGTTGGAGCAGCACAAAATACCTCATCAGCATTTGTTGAAAACTCTGCGAATGAAGATCTGCCTGACTCAAATCCTGCTGCAGATAATGAACTTGATTCACCAAATCTTCTAGACTTCCAGGAACAGGTGGAAATATCATTTGTTTCTTGTCCTTCAGAGATGGATTTGAACAACCCAACAAGTGAGTCAGACCTCAGCATTGACATAGTGTCTTCTCAGAATGTGGCGTCATCTGTAAGCCAACATCCACACCCAAGCGAGTTAACGCAAGCTACAGGTAAAGCATCAGGTGTCAAAAATGTCATGGAAGCAAGTCATTTGTCAATCTCATCATCTGCTTTACCCCACAGACCGCTAGCAGCATCCGCAGCTGCCTCATACCCCACCAGCATGTCTTTATCCTCACTTGCAGCATCCATTACAACAGAGACCTCAGAAGCCAGTGTATTTCCACAGCAAGAATCTCACATTTCTACTCAGGATCATTTTCAGGTAACCACAAATATAACTGAAAGAGAACTCAGCAGAGGACAGTTAATAATAAAACAGGAGACTCGGTTTGAGGAAGTTCCATCAGAAAATGTGCAGCTTCCAGATAAAAATAGTCCCGAATCACTCATCACAATGTATTTTACTTCGGCTGGAGAGTTCAAAGAAACATTTGAAAGAATCAGCATAGACACTGCTGCTGGTATTATGCAGCCTGTGGACGAACCCTCAGAGATTGCGAACATAAAGGCAGCTGCTGTTGCTTCTGATGATTCTGGTCAGAAAATTCAAATTCACAAACCGGGAGCAGCTATATCAGAGACAAATGATTGGTCAGAAAAATTTGCTGACAGGTATACTTCGGTTATACCGTCGGTGATGTCTGGGCGAGTTTTGTACCGATGTGCGGAGTGTGGATACTGCAGTCACAACAAGCATTACTACAAGCAGCACGTGGATTTGGTACACAACGAGGACAGGCCTTACAAATGTCCCCACTGTGATTACGCTGGCAAGCGCCGACATGCACTTTTGGAACATTTAGTGGTGCATTCAAATCAAAGGCCGTTCACCTGTGACCACTGCAATGCAAGTTTTAGAAAGAAGGTAACTATTGTGAATATCCCCACCTACTTCTTCTCCTTATCCTATCTCTTCTCGTCTACACTTTTTTTTTTTTTTGGGGGGGGGGGGGGGGGGGGGGGGGGGTGGGGGGGGGGGGGGGTTATTTTGTACATTAAGTATGTATACTGAGGTACTGGTTTATATTTATGTATGGATAGATAGATAGATAGATAGATAGATAGATAGATAGATAGATAGATAGATAGATAGATAGATAGATAGATAGATAGATAGATAGATAGATAGATAGATAGATAGATAGATAGATAGATAGATAGATAGATAGATAGATAGATAGATAGATAGATAGATGGGGGGAAGGAAGGAAAGAAAAAACCATCTGGCCACTGTCTCCAGATTCTTTACCATTTCATTATTCATCCTATTTTCATTATGAACAATTTCTTCTTTCATCATGTCAGAAACATTTTAACCGTTTCATTGTCTGTTTGTTATTATCAGGGCCACTTGACAAACCACATCAAGCTGCACACTAGCCAACGACTGGTCCACTGTGGAGTCTGCAACATCCAGCTGCCTGATTCAGAAGCATTCGAGGCTCACCTGCACAAGATCCACAACACAGACAAGCTCTATAAATGCAGGCTTTGTGAGTACACAGTGGTGGACAGGGAGATCATGCTGAAACACTTACATGAACATAACGAAGCAGTTATGTACTCCTGCCCTAAGTGTCCTAGTTTGTTTAATGATGAGGAGAATTTGGTTCAGCATATGAAAGGTAACCATCATTTTTCCTTTGTGCGAAAGTCCAGTCAGAGGTTTGGAGAGGCAAATGTCCTAACTGGCACATTGCCCCAGCCGGCCAGTATCATCTGCTCGGAGTGCGGCTTTGTTTGCAAGGACACTGACATGATGCAACAGCATATGTGGACACACATCAAGAAAGGTTCCAAACTGAACCTTCAGACGAATGACAATACCAGAGTTAACTCAGCCAGCAAAGAAGGCAGCCTTGGTACACTGGGTGTCCTGAAAATGAACGTGGACTTAGGACAGAAGACTTTGCCGAAAGATGTGGTTTACCAGTGCAGCAGCTGTAACTTTACATCCAGCGATAATTCTGTGTTTATTAAACATATGCTTGCTCATAAGGCCCAGGAGAAAAAGCAGCAGTCTGATGTGATTGGCCATGTAAAGTTTCCTGGGGAAGATAACCAGACAGCAGAAGCACTGCCAAATACATCTGCACAGTACACAACTAAGCCAGTGACTTACTATTCTGGCAAATCAAACTCACAAGCCAAGTTAGACTCTGGGGTACCTTTTATTTATGACAAGGCCTCGGCCAGATTTCGATGCATAATCTGTGGTTACCACTGTGAATTTCAGCGTACAATCAAAGCTCATATTTGGAAGCATTCAGGTCACCAGAGCATAGAGTATCCCACATTTGATCACCCTGGCTCAACAAAAACTATCCTAGGGCCAACTACGAATCATATTCAGGCACACAGAGAGCTCTCCAGACATCCTGAGGGTGTGAACCACACTGGGACAAACTCCACAGCGGGCAGCACGTCAGACATGTCATTGTCACAAAATCTGCCAGTGCTGATGACCAGGTCTGGGGACACAGTTCAGTTGGTGCCTGTGAATCCCCTCAAGGCCAACTATAAACCAGGGGAGATCATTCAGATTAAAAATAATACCGTTATTTTTCCGTCTGAGTGCGGCAGAAATTCAGCTGCTAGTCGGTTTCTTGAGTCCATTGCATTCTCCAATGAGTGTTCTGAGGGATCACAAGCCAAGGACGGAGCAGTATCACAACAGTCTTCCAAAGGTCATGCTAATATTGTTGCTAGCGAGAATCAAACTGTGTCCAGGGCTATCATTAAGTCACTTGTATGTGACAACCAGCCAGTGAAGCACCAGACAAGCCTAGTGGACACACCCTTAAAGATAGAGATCAATGACCAGGATGACACCACTAGCAGTTGTGATGTAGAGGAGAGCTGCTCAGAACCTGGTGTGGTAGTCGAAGTGATGGACACACTTCCTTCAGGTGTGGGTCTCACAGCCATGAAGAGCCAGCAAGGTAGTCCTCGAATACCAGATCTTGATGGAAGTTGTGGAGAAAGAACTTTGAGAGCTCTTAGTGAAAGAATACCTTCTGTTGAATCTGACGCGGGATTGCTAGAAGCTGAGAAAGTAGTTTTGGAAGCTGGTGAGACCAGAGCATCACAACTTCAAGCAGTGGATTCAACCAGAAGTCAACTTAGCCTCCCTGTCAGAATGAGGTGTCCTACTTGTGACTGTCTTCTGTCAGAAGATTTCAAAGTCCATCTCTTAAGCTGCCAGAATAAATCGGTGGAGGCAGAAGTAAAAACCTGTGACCTTGAGCCAAATTCTGAAAGTGAACATAAGCAGAAGGTAGATCTGGATGATGAGGATGACATAGAAAATCAACCTGGTGAAGATACAGATTCTCTTGAGTCATCTGACGAGATGACCAGTTCTGTTGCATCTTCAGGCCAGCCAAAATCTGGCATCTGCTCATCCTTACTGGCAGTTATTGAACAACTAAGAGAGAGATCTAGATCAGAAAGTGAGGAGGACAAACAGCTCCCAGCTGTCTCCAAAAAGGGAAGTAAAAAGAAAATACGTCAGAATGAAGAAGAAGTTGACCTGATGTCAATCGAGGATTTGCAGAACATTGAAAAGATCTCAGAGAATGGTGGAGAAAAGTTCAGATGCAGCCTATGCCATTACAGCAGCCACAGAATCTGCAACATCAAACTGCACATGAAAACACACAGGCAGAAAAAGCCATCAGAATGCTCTCTCTGTGATTTCTCATCGACCTCACCTGAAGCCCTTCAAGAACATATGCTAAAGCATTGTAAAGTCAGAACCTACCCCTGCAAGTTCTGCCCCCAAAGCTTTAACCACAAGAGCACCCTCAGAGCCCATCTTCGTGCCCACAAAGACCAGGAGCCTTTTTTGTGTGCTTACTGTGTATTTGAAACTACAAACCCTTTGGAATATCGAGAGCACATGCAAGTCCACTCTGGCTGCTCTTCAAGACTCAGATGTCCAGGTTGTGACCTCATCCTCAGCAATAAAGAAGAACTCACTGCCCATCTGTTGATGTGTAAGGGTGGGACAAAGAAAAGTCGATTTGTTGACAAAATGGAGATGCCAGATGTCAGCTCGGAACAAGACTTTGAAAGAACTGAAAATAAATCGCCATTGGATGAAATTTCTACCCATCATGCCTGTGTGGTTCCGGGATGTTCATTCTTCAGCAACAACCTGAAGGAGTTACAGGAACACCTGTCTATCCATTGCAACCCGTCATCTCTTGTCTGCAATTTGTGTGACTTCAAAGCTCTACACAGCCGTAGTCTCAAATCACACATGAAGCGACATGCCAATGACCAGAGGTACGTCCAGCAGCCCTTGGAGCAGTACAAGTGTAACTTGTGTGGGTATGTTTGCCACCACCTGCCGTCCTTGAAGTCCCACATGTGGCGTCACGCCAGCGACCAGAGCTACAGCTACGAGTTCACCAACGATGTCATCAACGCTGCTATTGACCACGACACCAGAGTAGATGCAGACGGAGAGGCTGACGACCCAGAATTATTGGATAGGGTCATTAACTCTGAGAGAAAAATCTTAGAAGGCGAGTTATCAAAATACAGTAGAGGCGATGGTAAGCGACCAATTTGCTGGGTGACCTTTAGGTGCTGCAGTTGTGGTTTTGAAACAATTAACAAAGCAAAACTCAACATTCACATGCGTAGTCACTCAGATATCATTCAAAAAGCTTTGGACATCCCTAGAAAATCTGGAAATGTACAAAACAAATCTGTTTTAAGCCCACTGCCAACAGTAAAGTTCACTAGCAAGAGGTCAAACATCTCGACAGATATACCAATTATTCCTCAGAAGTTGACTAAAAAGGAATGACTTCTACTTTGACTTGGTAGTATCATGGATACTCTCCTAATTGTTGTTTTAAACCAGTGGTTCTTAACCTATTTTAGGTGGTGCCTCCTTGAATATTAGGCAAGGACAACCACTCACCCATAAAAAATTATTTTTGTTTAAATGGTTAAAAACAGGACAAAAAGAAATATCCCAGGAAGTATTAACTAGAACCTTGAGACAAAAGTCTGCATAATTCAAAGTATCAAATAACATAATGTCCTTGGCTTTTTGTTTTATAAATAGTTTTTAAAACCAATTATTTTATTTATAATCTAACAGAAAAAAATATGTTAGTATAGCAGATTATTGCAAGTAAAAATGCACCCAGGTCACAATAGCTTGACCCTTCGCTCCTCTGGAAATCTCCTGGGTTGAAAACCACTGATTTAAACAATGATCCTACAAATGGCATTGTAAATAAACGTAATTCATGTTACTACTCCTTGAGCACACCCATTGGTGCTCAGTCTTGCGTAACAAACATGAAAGTGTAAATGAATTCTCATGACATGTACATCTATTTGGGTGTATGTAAATTATCATCCTTTCACAAATTCTGTGTCATGGCAAAAGGTGGCATGGGGATATTTTTTTTTAATCATTTTTTTCTCCTAAACTTGTCTTTTCGGACTGTATGTGCCAGGTTGGCAGCAGGCAAGGGTGCTTTGAGCCTAAAGATTATAATTTTTTTTTAAATCTTTTTAAAAAAAACCATTCTGTCACCTTACTGATGATTCAAATCGGTGTCTGTCGAGTGAGAGTCCAGCGTTCACAACTGCTCTGCCAGCTATTCGTCAATTCAGATAAAGTTTGAGTTGTACATTTGATGAGACTAGGTCAGGCATAGAGCTGTGCTGGCTGGGAAAATCATTCTGTTGTGGCAGGGAATTGAAACCTGGCCACTGTTTTAATTAGCAAGTGTCATAGTGTGCTGTTTGACCCGTGTGTACAGTGATTGTGTATATATCATTACAGCCACCATATTTTGTTGAATCTGATATCCCAATAGTAGAGGACTACATCACACACTACAGTTTATTAGTAGACATGAAGAATAGCCATTCACAGAGCATATTTATTGATGGACAAAACGAATAGCTAATCACTCAGTCCATTTATTGATAGACAAGTAAATTAGCCAATCACACAGCATTTTTACTGATAGACAAGAAGAATAGCCAATTACAGAGAACATTTAGTTAGAGACAGTTGGTGCATTCTACATGTTAATTATTTGACAAATTTCTGCACATGGCCATTCTGCCGGATAATGTACCATGAACTAAGTAAGTCTGCCTCATTGGCATCGAGAATATCCCCATCCACTGCTTGTTTGTCTGTAATGAAAAGATATAAAAAATCAAAGGAAAAGTAAAATCAGTTGGCTTTACAATAACACAAACTCAGATGACAAGTTAACATTGTGGCCTTCATCAGTACATTAGTTCAATCACAATACTACAGGTTGGAACAAGAATACATAAAGATCACGTAACAGACATGTCTGTGGCTAGCGGAAATCAATACTGGCCAGAAAAAGCGGTGAGGGACAAGGGCCATTAACTCATAGATACTAGATAAAACCTTGTTGGTTTTTAAAGTCCCCTGTGTGAATTGGCACCTGTGAGATAAGACAGTTCTCGAGTTTGTCTATAAAAATATAGGGCAGACACCATATACCCAGTGTGTCTGGAAAGTGGAAATAAACCTTCACTCGTATTTACATTTTCCCGTGTATAAGGTGATGTTTTCCAAATTTTTTAAGTTTAAAATTGGGGGGTTGTCTTAAACATAGAACTTATTTAAATTTTGTTATCTTGATTTTGCTCTAATGATAATAGGCATCGTCTTACACATGGATGTCTTATACTTAAAAAATGGAGACCAGACGATCGGGTGGTTTTGGGAGCAATATGTCCACGCCACTGCTAAAAGTATGAGAATTTGAAGTAAAGATCAGCACAGCGATGCATAAAAAACACCACACGTACAGGAAGTCTTCTCAACGAACACAGGACTGGCACTATTAACTGCAGGACTGACTTAGTTTCTCTTTTTCTACCCTGGAGTGTAGAGGTTTGCCAGAGCGATTGCCAGACTTCTCTTTCAGCAGTTTTCTTTTTAGTTTAGCTCTGTTCGAGTCCTCTGTCAGTCAGGGACTGTCAGATGTCTTCCCAGTGAACCCTGGTTCTTGGCCTTCCATGCCTGCTGTGGTGGACGTTTCTCTCCCATTCTTCATACATGTCCAAATCTTCAGAACTGACTCGAGTTTGTAGGGCCTAAATTTCATAACTGACTGATCCAGTCGAGTTTGTAGGGCCTAAATATCCTAACTTCAGAATGCTCATATATATGTTGAAAAGGAAATCTGAGCCTTTGGGCCTGCCTGGAATACCATGATGATAACCCAACTCATAAACTCTCACACACAGGCACACAAAAACCAGTACATTATTTCAGAACTGGTTTCATTATATTTATAATCAAGCATTTCATTCATTTCACTTGTTCGATTTTCTTTTTGTGTTTGTCAGCATAGCTTTGATAGGGTGTTTTGTGTGTGTGTATCAGTGCCATAACCAAAGATATTACTGTTTGATTTCATTTCTCTTTCATACACACATTCATTGTGGGCAGGTGTTTCAGCTACTACACACATATATGTTAGCTCATCCAGGATCTGTATGATAGGTAATCCAAAGTTCCCTTTAATATCTGCCATGTTTGCGAGGTCAAACAACCAAGACCTGGTCTGTATTTGCTTTGTTTTATTTTCCCAGTTGCTGAGATTTTTACGTCTTGACTCAGCTGAATGTATCTTGCTGTTTGATCTGAATGTATATAGCTATTTGATATATTCATTGCATATTGTTGTATCTGCTTGTATGTTGCTGTGTGTCTCACTGTGTTTTTTATGTCTTGCTCTTGCTTGTATCTCTTAAATGTGTTTGTGTATTGATGTATACCGTTTACATGATGTTGTATTTTTTTAAAGTATAAATAGGTGACTGTTTTCCCACATCCTGAGGCAGGGCTATTTAACAGAGTCTACTACGAGGGCCAAAATTTTCACATTGGGACTCACCATGGGCCAGAGACCCAAACCAACAGCATAGAAACAGCATTAGTACAATACAACTGGCAAATATCCGTGGGCCACTGTAAGGCTGCACTACGGCAACTGCTGTTTGTTTATTTTACTTGTGTACTTTTACATTCTCTCAGGTGTGACTTTGTCCTTTTTGGTTAGGTAATCTTGTAAATAAGTGTCATAAATCAGGAATCTAAAAGTTCTGAATCGAGGAAGATAACTGATCACCTCATCTGTTACTGCCATGACCTAGAATCTGTAAACATTGTTATTATCTCAAATTTTTACAGCATTTTTTTTTTTTGCTGTATAAGTGTTCTAGCCAGTGTTGTCTAAATTGTATATTTTTTATTTGTTTTGAATCTTCAACTCTTTCAGTCCCAAAGAACGCATATGTTCCTACCTATAAGCCCATGAACGCAAGATGTGCAGATTTTACGTTTCTCTTTGCTGCCCCTGATGCTAAACACCCTGGCACTAAAAGAGTTATGTAATGTTGATTTGTTATATTGTTAATTCAATTTAAGTTCTGAACAAAACAAAAACTTTAAAGATTTGTAATGATGAATTAATTACCTTTCTGTGTTTTGAGCATGTAAGAAATCTCTTGAACTCGCAGACTGAAAACTTTTGTTGAGTCTGGGTGGTAAAATACAAAGTTATTCAAAATGTTGGATACACTTTTATTCATGTATGTTTCCTTGAATAAAAATTACATATTAATAATATACATAAATGAGAGAGGGGGGGGGGGAGGTCCAAAGTTTTGAATACTACCACTAGAGCGCAATTACCTAACCAACCACTCGAGTCCGCATGCTCCTGCCACCAAGGATCCTTCAGTTCAGTTCTGAGTGTGTTGGTCACCATACAGCACAAGGTGTTCTTGAGTTCTATGGTCATATTGAACACCTATAACTCTATTGTATGTTTATAAACTTTAGACCTTCTCTGCTCTCTTGTATGCATACTATCAATATGTAATATGTTCAAGGAAACATGCATAAATTAAAGTGTACCCATTTTTTTTAATAACCTGTATTAACAAAAGTCACATTACCACAGTGTTGTAGTATCGGCGTGATTATTTTCATATAGCTGTTATTGTTCAAGCGTTTGTATTGAAGAGTAGTATTTGATTGAATAACTGGTGGTATTCAAGGAAATATGCATGAATGCAAGTGAATCCATCATTTGGAAGGGGCCTGCATTAGCACAGTCAATAGGTGACTCACTTTCAAGTCCAATTGCGACTCGCTGCAGCCCACGGTCGGTGTTCGAAACCAGGCAGCTCCCGGGGTTCACCCAGCCTATAGGTAATGGGTACCAGACTTAACATTCTGGGGTAAATGGAGGAACGTCGCTGTAGCTACGGAGTTACAGGTGGACGGCGACACAGGTGGACAGTTTCTAATCAGCTGTCCATGCTGGTAGCAGAGCACTTATGGTTTATAACCGTGAGCAATGACGCTGGTTCACATCTATCGACTTTACCTTTTACCTTTACAATCATCTGGATAACCCTGTATTAATAAAAGTCACATTACCACACTGCTGTAGTATCTGGTGTGACTATATTCATATCATCATGTAGCAGGTCCTTTGCAGAACGTCGCTCTCATCACCCCCATCTCAAACCCCGTCTCTCGCCAGTTCTCCCGCCTCATGTACTTTCATACTCAAGGAGTTACTTATATCTTGTGCCCATCTTCGTGTCGGTCGGCCCGTGCCCCTATTTCCTGGTACCATACTTTCTGCTATAATTTTTTCCAATCCGTCGTGGTGATTAATATGACCAAAATATTTCAGCTTCCGAGAAAGGATGCTGTTTACCAGCCAATCTTCCTTCATGTTCAGATTTTATATTCAAATAGCTGTTATTATTCAA